GCAATGCTTTATTACTGTCCTAAATTGAAGTGACACGGGTCTATCTATCAATGTACATTCGGCTCCTACTTAGATTTAAATCACTATTCAGTCCTGACAAATTGACCATGAATTATGTGATAACACAGCACACTAAATACTCCTGATTTCAGGAATCGAACCAACTTACATACACTGGAGATGGATCTGTCGACTTTTCGGGAAACCCTGTCGTGAAGGAGAAAACTGGCAGATGGAAGGCATGCCCATTCATCTTAGGTAATTTTTTGCAGCAGTCAGTACATTCTTTTGTTTACTGTATGTATGCGTGAAATAATTATTGTAACCAACCTGTAGGTAATGAATGCTGTGAGCGGTTGGCCTATTATGGCATCTCGACAAACCTTGTGACTTACTTGACAAAAAAACTACATGATGGTAACTCCTCTGCTGCTAGAAATGTGACTACATGGCAGGGAACTTGCTATTTGACTCCCCTTATTGGAGCTATCCTGGCTGATGCATACTGGGGGAGGTATTGGACGATCGCAACGTTCTCCACAATATACTTCATTGTAAGTCATCTCTACTGAAATTTTGTCCTAATAAGTCATGTGTAAGTGTTTATAGATTCCTCAAATTTATAGGGCTTGCACTGTATGAGCTATGAGAGCTCACCCTCCCCGACAGGGTTAGAACAGTAGCATAGTACTTTGGTATGGTGTATGTCCTATGAAATTAGTTATGCTTGTGATGCGTCGTTTTTACAATAGATGTCTTGATACTCTCTTAAACCCGGTATGCATTACTGTGAAAGGTTCATGTCAGTAGTATGCCTATAGTTCTTGTATACCAGCTGTTAGTTCATATCTGACTGCTAAACTCAATTCTGTGCTAACCTGGTTGGTATCTTGTCTTGACAATCATGTTGTAATTGTAGGGGATGTCAGTACTGACTCTTTCAGCATCAGTTCCTATGCTCATGCCTCCATCTTGTGAAGGAGCCATTTGCCCAGAAGCCAGTCCTTTGCAGTATACCGTATTTTTTCTTGGTCTTTACCTAATTGCGCTCGGCACTGGTGGAATCAAGCCATGTGTCTCATCTTTTGGAGCGGATCAATTTGATGACACAGATCCAGCTGAGCGAATCCAGAAGGGGTCTTTCTTCAATTGGTTCTATTTTTCAATAAACATTGGTGCCCTTATATCAAGCAGTTTTCTGGTTTGGGTGCAAGACAATTTAGGATGGGGATTAGGCTTTGGCATTCCGACCGTATTCATGGGTCTTGCCATCATAAGCTTCTTTGCCGGCACCTCACTTTATAGATTCCAAAAGCCAGGTGGCAGTCCTATCACACGAGTATGCCAGGTAGTTGCTGCCACTTTGCGCAAGTGGAACGCACCTGTTCCAGAGGACAGCTCTCTCTTGTACGAGCTAGCAGATGGGGTTTCAGCAATCGAAGGGAGTCGGCAATTGGAGCACACTGATGAACTCAGGTGAGCATAGCAGTACAGCGAAGCACCACAACTCCAGTCAGTTTATTGACCTGTAAAGATCTAGGGCAAATAAATATTTGAACTTTATTAGTTGCTGATTCTTATTTACATATAGTTTTGATATATTCCAACTTCAAAAACTAGATACACTAGCCTTTTGCTTTCGTGAATCTGTTCACTTTATTTTTCCAAATCCTAACTAGCATTTATTCCAGATGTCTGGACAAGGCGGCTACAATTACTGATCTTGATGTGAAAGAAGATAGCTTCAACAACCCATGGCGGGTGTGCACCGTCACCCAGGTGGAGGAACTGAAGATATTGGTAAGGATGTTCCCTGTCTGGGCAACAACAATTGTGTTTTCGGCCGTCTATGCTCAGATGTCCACCATGTTTGTGGAACAAGGGATGGTGCTTGATCCAACAATCGGCTCATTCAAGATCCCTCCAGCATCTCTATCCACCTTCGACGTGGTCAGTGTCATTATATGGGTTCCTATCTATGACAGCATCCTGGTCCCAATAGCCAGGAGGTTCACCGGCAAGGAGAGGGGCTTTTCAGAGCTCCAGCGGATGGGCATCGGCCTGGTAATCTCCATCCTCGCAATGTCAGCAGCCGCGGTCCTCGAGATAAAGAGGCTGGCCATCGCCAGGGAGGCGCACCTGGTGGACCAGAACGTCCCGGTTCCGCTGAGCATCCTGTGGCAAATCCCTCAGTACTTCCTGGTCGGCGCCTCGGAGGTGTTCACCTTCATCGGGGCGCTCGAGTTCTTCTACGACCAGTCGCCGGACGCCATGCGGAGCCTCTGCAGTGCGCTGCAGCTCATCACCACCGCGCTCGGGAACTACCTCAGCGCCTTCATCCTCACGATGGTCGCCTACTTCACGACCAGGGGAGGGAGGCCCGGGTGGATCCCTGACAACCTCAACGAGGGGCGCCTTGATTACTTCTTCTGGCTGCTCGCGGGGCTCAGCTTTCTCAACTTTTTGGTGTACGTGCTGTGCGCCAACAGGTTCAAGAGCAAGAAAGCGGCTTGAGCTTCTTTGATGGTCGGAGAAGTTGGACGGCGTCGGAGCAGCAGTCCTGTACACGTACACTTGAAAATCTGTATATATGCTTCTCAGTACATGATCCCTCTGTTGACGCACGTGTTTATTTTTTTTAACAAGCTGTAATTATCTCTGTATTTGAATCCAAAATGGGTCATGCATTTTCTTTTCCTGTATATATTGTACATTCACTTGAAGTTTCAATGTCGGCCACCTCTAGTTTCCTTGTTTAGCATTTGGTTTTTGCGTTGTCTATTAAGATGTGCAAGTGATATGGCGTTGAATGCTTGGAAGAGGATGTCCTCCCCTTTGCCGGGAGAGTCGGTCTTTTCTTTGCTGGTCGTATTTTGAGGTAATTTGGTTACATGTCAAAACTTCAACTCTCCTTATTTACTGATGAAACGAGAAGAGGAAGCAGGAGAATCAAAAGCAAGAAAGCAGCTTGAGTTTTGTTGGTGAGAATAGTTCGCTGGCAGGTTGTACTGAAGCTGAAGGCCAAGGCTCTTCGATGGCGTTCTCATGTACTCCCTCCGTTCCATCATACCTGCGACAAGTAATTCAGAACGGAGGGAGTACATGTGCACTTCAAAATCTGTGTATATTTCTCAGTAAATTTTTTTGATGTGACTATTATTCGAGCAATTCTCTTCTTCTTTCTTGTTTGAACGGACAACACTTGTCTTCCTCTTAATTACTAGTGATCGAGGCAAATCTTTTGCCTCTATTAGAAAAACATGAATTGGAGGACATGCATGCATGGGCACTTTCTCGCAGGCCTGTCCTGCCGTTGGCTGGTCAACAACCTGTGATAGTAGAGAAATAAAATGTAAGGGCAGGGTCAAGGGCGGGCGAGACGTGAGGAGTTGCACGGGAGCACGTCGGGAGCGAGCTGCGGCACAGACGTGGGAGGTCAGTTTGTTTGACCACAGTTTTCTTCTGAGCTCTGGACCTTAGCTGATTTGGCAGTCCCAAACTCTGTCCAAAATAAATCATGTTGTTCGACAGATAAACTAAACAATCTCTTGGATTGGAGACCAGTGTGTTTGCCGGGTCAGGCGGTCAGGGTGCACGAGCGAACGGCACGCTCATCCGTTGCCGTACATGACATGAAACAGGGCCGACAGTGGCAGGCATGTACGTTGTTGGTTGGCTCGACACGGAGAGAAAACGAACGTGTGCAACATCAACTGCGCAGGCCGCACGTAGCCCAGGCCCAGCGAATGATTTGCAATCGGCCGCGCATTGTCAAGCCAACCACCACCACCACCACCCCGGCCCCTGCCCTGCCCTGCCATATAGGAGTAGGACGAGGACCGCCTCAACTCAATCTTGTGTCTATAGTTGACATAGCTAGATCAACATCCAGACCGGCCGGCAGCTAGCCTCGGAGCTGTTTTTGCTTGAGTTCGCCGCCGTGTGCGTGCGTTTCTTGGGTTGAGGAGGATGTGGTGCTGCGCCGGCGAGAGGGAGGAGTACCACGGCCCGCCGCCCGGCAGCCTTGCCATGCCGCCCCCGCGAGCACCAGGTTCTTACATAACACTATCCGTTAGGTTCCACAAGCATTTGCGCTTCCTTGTCCTAAAATGCAACCGTTTAGACCTCCTTTGGTTCAAAGGGTTTTCATAGGAATTTTGGAGGAATAGAATCATTAGAATTTCTTCGTGTGTTGGTTGCTTGATTCGCTGGATTAAATTCTGTAGGATTTTTTTCTAAGGGTTTCTTGGTACTATTTCTTATAGAATTTCTAACGTCTGCTCAAACCACTCTGAAAGAATCCTTTGTTTTTTCTGTGATGCAATCAATCAAATAATCTAAAATCCTGTAGGATTGAGATGGCCATGACATTTCAGCCCTATATTTTTTTTCTATTCCGATGCATGTTTTGAGAATCATGCGAATCAAAGATGCCATGCATTGTTGCAGCGCAAGCGAGAGGGCCGAACGCGCCGAGGAACGGCGTGGGGCCAGCCAAGGTGCTGCCGATCGACGTCCCGGCGGTGACACTGGCGGAGCTCAACCGCCTCACGGGCAACTTCGGCGCCCGGTCGCTGGTCGGGGAGGGGTCCTACGGCCGCGTGTACCGCGCCAAGCTAGCCACGGGGGAGACCGTGGCCGTCAAGATGTTCGACAACGGCGGCTCCGGGCAGTCGGAGGCCGAGTTCTGCGCGCAGCTGTCGGTGGTGTCGAGGCTCAAGTGCGGCCACTTCACGCAGCTGCTGGGCTACTGCCTGGAGCTCAACAACCGGATCGTGCTCTACGAGTTCGCCACCAACGGCTCGCTCTACGACATCCTGCACGGGAAGAAGGGCGTGCAGGGCGCCGAGCCCGGGCCGGCGCTCACGTGGGGCCAGCGCGCCCGGGTGGCCCTCGGCGCCGCCAGGGGCCTCGAGTACCTGCACGAGAAGGTGCAGCCGTCCGTGATCCACCGCGACGTCCGCTCCAGCAACGTGCTCGTGTTCGACGGCCACGAGGGCAAGATCGCCGACTTCAACCTCACCAACCAGTCCGCCGACACCGCCGCGCGCCTCCACTCCACCAAGGTGCTCGGTACGTTTGGGTACCACGCGCCCGAGTACGCCATGACGGGCCAGCTCACGCACAAGAGCGACGTCTACAGTTTTGGGGTCGTCCTCCTCGAGCTCCTCACCGGCAGGAAGCCCGTCGACCACACCATGCCCAAAGGCCAGCAGAGCCTCGTCACCTGGGTACGTACATATTTCTTCCTTGTTTGCTTGTACTCCCTTCGAAAAAAATATATAAGAGCGTTTAGACCAGTCAAGAATGCATGTGTGACGATCGACATTGATCCTGCTGCATTGCAGGCCACGCCGAGACTGAGCGAGGACAAGGTCATGCAGTGCATCGATCCCAAGCTCAACAACGACTACCCGCCAAAAGCAGTGGCCAAGGTGCGTAATCCAGCTCAAGAAATTCCTCCCTAATAGCACGCTAGTACGCTATAGCATCCTCAGAAATGTCTCGCTAAGTAAATCAGTATATAATTCCTCGCTAATAGCATACTATAGTTGCTATTAGCACGATATTGCACGCTAATAGCATATTTTAAGGATCACGCTATTTTTTCATAACACACTATTTGTTTCCATTGGTTTTAACTGATGAATCTCTTCGCTTGTGTTCAGCTCGCGGCGGTGGCGGCCTTGTGCGTGCAGTATGAAGCCGACTTCAGGCCCAACATGACCATTGTCGTCAAGGCTCTCCAGCCACTTGTCGGTGCCCGTCCGGGAGGAGGAGATCACTAGCTTAGAGAGAGATCCATGTCATGCATGTCAAGGCCTTCGCCCTCTCCCGCAGCTAGCCCTCTCCTGCAGCTAGATTTCTTTTGGTGGAAGCCGCATTCATATGTTTAAATCGTACTAGAATGCTCATTTTTTTCTGAATTTATTCAGTATACAATCATGTGGGTGCATTGCATGTATGCACGTGAGTGTTTACGTCACTGTTGCGTTTCTCCAAAAAATAGATAGGGTCTTGAGCCTCTCGAAATGGGCAACAAAACTTGGCAAAACCAGACAGGGTTTTCTAGGGAAGGTGGTATAGCAGTGGCAAATCTACTAGATGGGCTTTAACAGGCCCAAGGATCAGCCTGGCCGACTGTTGCTACTTGCCCGTCATCAAGCCCACACAACCACTGCTCGCATGAGGTAGTTCCTTTATTACATAGAGGCAGAGACCAGACTCGCACAGTGCACTGAGTCGCCCGCCATGTTCGCATAATTAAAACAATGTTTCGTATCATTCAATGAATGCATGCGTCATTTCAAACAAATTGTATGTGATATGTTTGAGAAATGTTTATACGATATAAAAAAATATCCGCGCGTAGTATAAAAATTGTTATGCACCACTAAAAAATGTATGTAATATTTGGTATAAATATTCACGCGTTTCGAAAAAAATATTGACATTTAAAAAATGTTTATATAATGTACAAAAATGTTCACGTAGTTTAAGAAATGTTTAATGCCAATAAAATGTTCAAAATGTATTGAAAATCTATTAAAAAAATCAAGGCATGTATTTTGAAATCATTGGGGAGGCAGTCTTCATCGACCTTACTGCCTCTATAATGATGTGTGTGTGTAGTTCCCACAGGACCTACGGATTCGTAGCAATAGCTACTAATTAACTATAGTGTTTAATTTGTGCATGTGAAAGGAGACATGTGATTGGGATGGAGAAGCTAGCGCAGACTGCATGCAAACTTTGTGTGCTAAAGCTGGTCATAGTGGGGAGTAACTTAGACTAGTGTCATATGCATGACACTAGTCTAAGTTACTATCTTCATAGTGCAAAGTAATATAGTATTAATGTCATATGTGGCCTCATTTAATAGCTTGTAGACTCATGTTGTCTTGAAAAGCGCTATGTTACAGTAACATATTATGTTACTACTTCTCATTAACTACTTGCCATATAAGCAAAAAAAAATTAGATGCGCTATGTTACTATCTAAGTTACCCTACTATGATTAGCCTAATGCACGCGGGCTGCACATGTAGCGCCAGATGTCCTCTCTCTTCACCTTTCTCTTTCTTCCACCTAGGATTTTAATGGCATGGCATCTGCTATAGCCTGCTCACTAGATCTTGTACTACACTTGCTCTTAAACAATGGATGGCAGGCTTTACTTTGGACTCACACACTTACACAATTGATAGACATGGACTACATGCATGACTAGACTGAGACGAAGGCTAGCACTAGAAGTAGTACACCAGGGGTATTAACTGTGCGTGCTAGAGGACGAGCTACTAGGGTTGTAGTATCTAACTCGGTGGCCTAAACTGCAATGGTGCATGCGTGCATGTGGTGCTGTCGGCTCTGCGTCTTGCTCATAGGCCGATCGGCAAGAACACAGTAAAATTATACAGCCTACCGTCAAATACCTTAGCGGTAAGGTATTTTTGACATCAAACGAACGTGACAGCGTAGTTAAATCCTATCATCACAGACCCAGGCGGTAGGTCGTGCTATCCTACCGCCGAGACCAATGACGACAGTAAAAGGGTCAAATCTCGAAATTTTTACGAATCAAGGTCAAATCTGGCTGAACTTTACGAAAAAGGTCAAAACAGCAAGATCGGCCGATGCCGGGCGTAGCTTTGGGATATTTCTGGAGGACTCATATTTCTATGATCAGAAATCTGCTGACTGACATCGATGCCGGGCGTAGCTTTGGGATATTTCTGGAGGACTCATATTTCTGGAAGACATGGGTTTTAACTATTCGTTGTTGCCTCGGTTGAATAGAGATGGTGATGCTAGTTGCATCGTCCATCGTGACTCGATCATGGCAGCGCCCTCTCAGAGTTTCGTTTCGGGCATCGATGCATGGAAACAGTAGATTGGACATGCCAGTGGAATGTCTTTCTCCCATCACTCTCTCAGTCCGCTGCCTAACGTGAGTTTATTTACAGTCAGAGGCGGCATCAATCCTGGAGCAGGAAACTCATCTGAAACGTGCCCAGCGGCCTCTGGAAGCCCAATAAACAACGCATCAATCCGACGTCAGGGGCGACTTATTATATTATAAACATGCACCCGCCGAGAGGCCTCTGGAAGCCAAATAAACAACGCACGCAAGCTGGCCATGAACATTGCCATAGCAGTGGCGTACATGTTGGAAGAGAAGACCGTGGTGTAGAGGGAGTCAGGGACAGGAGTCGCTGACTGACAGCGGGGCCCATGCGCAGAAGGCGCCATATGTCAGTGAGGCACGAGCCCGGGCGTCGACATGGGTGTCGTTGGCCAGCAGGCAGCAGCCACGCAGGTGCAGCTCCCATGGCGATGGATAAAGCATTGAAGGTTCTAGCCCGCATATGGGGAGGCCCGCCGTGGCCACGTGCGGGTCACGTGCCCCTGTCCGCAAGTGGCAACCCCGACCCGACGCCCTGCCGAGAGACGCCACGCGACTCGGCCAGACCCAGAAAAGAAACAAGGAAAGATCTCGAAAGAAAAGGGAAAGGCGATCGCTGCTGCCCGGTCCAGGCCGTTGCCGTGGGCGCGCCCGCGGGTGGGACGGCACGGCGCTGGCGCTGGCGGCGTTGCCGAGCCGTTGCCGCCGCGTGGCGTGACAGCGCGCGCAACGCACGCACGCGTGCTCGCCGCGCTTGCTTTGCGGCCCCGAGCGCTCGGCCTCCGCTCCGGCGGGTTCGTTTCGTCGTCGGCGTCACCGCGCCTACGGTTATGCGCCGCGTGAGAGCATCTGTAGATCGATATATCGAACACTATATGTCCTGCACAGTGACCGATTAATCATAAAATCGCCGCGCGCGCGCACTCATTTAAAGACATTATAATTGTGCACTCTAGGAGGCTTCTCACGCCCTCACCATTCTGAACCGTCTAATCCATCCCCTGTATGTTTTGTGGCCGTTGGATCAATTTCTCAGCGAAACACTTCCTGCAGCTGGGCTGGATGTTATATGGGCCGCTGCTCCTGGAACAAAATCGGCATTCTCTCATTAATCGGGACCTTTTGGGGTGCGGGGTATGCCAGAAAAATGACTTGCGGGCCTAGCATCGAACAAAGCCCACCGAGCAGCTCAACAGTTGGATCACACTTCGGTTTGCTTAAAAGAATAGAAGAAGAAAAACATCGAGTCCAAAGAGAGATGGCGATCGAGCAAACGGCAGATGGCCTTCCTGATCGGCTGGCCAAGGCGGGCCGAAGCAATGTCGGGGAGGCGATGATGCGGGAGTCAGCGACCAACGTGGATCTCCTCGTACATCTCGACAACTGAAACGGTAGAAACATGCGAAACGGGACGGCGGAAATCAGATCGATGTTCGATCTGCCGGCATTAAAGGAAGCATTGAAGCATCAATTCCTGGAAGCTTTCATAGCGGTTGATGTGCACTACTCGCAACGTTGATTAGTAGAGGTACGTTATTGCTTTGGCAGCCTATACCTGCTTTAGTTCGTGTGCCTGTAAATATCTGCTCCGTCGCCTCATGCTCTCCTGTTGTTCAGGGAGCAGAACCAAACAGCTCCTCCATCATCTGTGTGCCCTTCTCACTATGGGTTCTCATCATTATCTCAAGCTTCATTTTGTGCAGATCCGTCCATGTTGATCTGGCACCCTTCTGTCTTCTCCCTTGGTTGAGATTTCTCTCCATGCCCTTTCTAATAATCTCTCTCAGGAGTATTACCATTTGGGCCTGCCAAGTGTTTGATACTTGTTTTGCGCGACTGATTCTGATTTTTGGGACTTCACAGTTTCATAGGATATATATGTGACCGTTTTATATCTGAAAAACTCCAGGTTACACATCCCCCCCTACCGCTTTCAATCTCTTCAGTTTCAGGTTGATGTGAGTTGAGTTTATTTAGTTTTGGTAGCAATTGGTGGATGGGTTAACAAGCACTACAACTACTAGGAGTATTTTCTATTCACATGCACTTATATTTTTTTTACAGTGTTGGTTATTTGATGAATCATGCGGTTATTCAGGACTTACGGAAGGGAAATATTGAGTGCGCGGGCGAACATATAAAGCAGGTGGGAATTCTCTTATTATATTGACATTTATTACACCTAAAATAGCTTCTGATTGATTCAAGTAGAGTTGAAAATTCCATGAAATGTTACTCCAACTATATGCTTTTTTTAGGAATATTGAGACACAGGTCAAAAGACATATTTTGATCTTTAAAAAAGACATATTATGGTCGTACTAATCTATTTGCATCCCATTCATCTACATGTCAGCTATACACATGGTTTCCTTTTGCCATATAAAATATATTTTCACACTACTAATATGTGCTAATCTTATATGAAAATTTTGGCCTCATGGTGCCTTGTCCCATCCTGTGTCCAGTATGCGACCTGTGATAGTTATCATTTTTCTTTATTTTCTGAGTTTCTGATTATATTGTCCATCTTGCTCATGATATTACGTGCTCTAACTGTGAGCTTTTCTTTTTGTATGTGGTGCAAGGTGTTCAACTGCCCATCGGTAGCCACTTTGGACATTATTTCTTTTGTGCAAGTCGACCCTTCTCCATGATGATATATTTTGGATGGCCTCTTCACGTATCATATATTGCTGCCAATTTACGACTTCCTGCAAATATCGTTCAGTTGGATTGCTCTTAAATAAGTGAAAGATCTTATTGCTATAGGCTCCTTGTATGGTACATTTCAGTGCTATTTTATTACCTATCTAATTAAATTCATTCTTTAGGAATCTTCGTCCATGGATGTAATAATGCCTCAAGAATCAAGCAGAGTTT